TACTACATATACATGCATTAATTTCCCTTCCAGTGCATTACAGCTAATTAGCTAGGTGAATTAGCTAGCTAAAGCGCATTGTGAAGAGAGATGATTCTTCTTTAATCAGGCTCATGCAGTTACCAGCATTGTTACCTGTTTTCCCATGATTGCAGTTGAATTCGAAAATGTAATGAAATAATAGTTATTTGACAAAAAAAAGGTTAAATTTGACTGAATAGGCAGCTATGTACCTACAGTTAGTTTGTTTGCATCTCACTGCTAAGCAGGCAGGGGTGTCAGAGGAGCATGGATACCCTGGCAGATATATTGAGACCCCACAGTCTACCATCCTCCCCCCCACCCCATGCTACCCCCCNCCCCCCCCCCCCCACTTGAGAAAATTAACTGAGAACTAGCAGAATATGTAGCTGTGACCTTGTTTACAAGTATTGGATTTCCCTTTTAATCACAAAATATTCAATCTAGCAAATGGTTTTTCTCATTTTATTATAAAATTTTGACTAATAATTGCTTCAAACATAATCACATGAGCAATAAAAATCCCAATTCAGTCTTATATTAAAAAAAGAAGAGCGAGGAAACTTTGTTCTGCAAAAAATTCTTTATACAAATAGGACGATTATTCATCCATCGAAACATACATAGGCTACTAAATATATTATTTTTCCATGACATTGGTTACCTTTAATTGCATCAGGCTCTCTTCCATATTTCTCCATTATCGAATCCGACGAGAATCTGAATGCTACAGTATGTGCATGGTTTTCAGCCCCCGGCACGATGTCCCAAGAAAACAGACTATGATTTACGTCGTTGTTTAGGCCCATATCCCTAATACACTGAATCATCAGTGTTTAGCACTCAGACAGCACTGTTATTTCTACAACTTTCTGCATGAGTTTTTTTCTCTGAAGAAGACACACTGTTGATTTTGCACTCTGCCGGATACATTAGCACTGTGTTTTAATTGAGTCAAAGTATCACACTGAATCCGAAATGTTTTAACACATGATTTTTGCCACTATTAAAAAAAAATGGCTTTGAGATGAGGTCTGTGGATTAAGCAAACAACACCATCACTGAAAGCCAATCTTTGGAGCTGCGGGAACATTCTAGAACATACCCCATTCTTAAATGTTTGTTTCTATTGAATATGTATTGATGTCCTGGAAAATACAAAAATATTTTCTTTTTCTGTTTCTCTATACTCTACGCTCAACAAAACCACAACACTCTGCATAAGTGATGACTGGCAATCTGTGAACAGAGCTAAAAGAATTAAATACACTTATGTGTGCCTTTCACTAATCTACTTTTATTGGCTTCCTATTGTACAAGCACAAGTCATAAGAATGAGGCACAAGCTTCTGGCACATTTAAATTAGGTGAGACAACACAATTTTATGCACTAAAAATTAATATACAAGTGTGCTTGGCATGACAGAAAACATTTGCAGCCACCATTTGTGGACAAATGCATCCAAAAAATGCCTAAAAACATTGAAGAGGTAAGAAGATAATACATTTTATACAATATAGTAATAGTGAATTTTTCCAAAGAAGAGAGAAAATGTGTGAAAATGACAATGAAATTTTATTAATCAGCTATTTCAAAGTTTCTTGTTATATAATTTAATCACAAAAACAGAGAAGGTACTACGTCCACCACCTCCATGGACCAGGTATACCTGCATAAAAACTTTTCTTCTCACTGCGATCTTTACAGCAGTTTTTCCCAATCCGGTCCTTGGGGACCCACAGGACTGGGAGGGAGCAAAAATGTGGACTGTCTGGCATGGAGTTCGGAGGGAGCAAAAACATGGACCGACTCTGGGTCACCGAGGACCGGATTGGAAAACAGTACTTTACGTATTTGGAAGCAATCCCCTTCCCTCCTTGATTTAAGTTTCCGGTGTCATAACATTCGGCCTCACCATCAATCCGAGAAAGCCTATGAGCACATCTAATGTACCGTCATCCATTTTTATTAGTGCGTTTTACATATGCGCCTGAGTTTATGTCAGAGTATTAAAGATAAAATAACGAGCTGCGGCAGCGGCACACCAGGCTCGAATAAACAAATATGAGTCCAAATGCCGATGATGAATGACAGCAGGGAAACTAGCGGGCAGAAGTGTCTGTGGCATTAGATATATGGGTCAATCAATCACATGTTCCTTTGCTCTTGGAGAAGCCTGCACGCTCGCTCTCGCATGACAAATGCGTAAATAAACAGAGTATCAGGACGAGAGGCAGCCAGAGATATATTGGGGGAGACGTTAAGACTGAGAGAGTATCGATGAAACAGTGATCACGTGTGAAAATCTCAATTAATCCCAATATGGGGAGGAGAGTGCTGTCCGTAATACTAGGCGCTCATGCCACACATAGCCGCAGTTTCTCCGCGGGCGCTCTTTATCGCTCCGAAGTGGGGTCCGGATGAAATATAAATCAAAGGGCCGTGGTTTTCTTGCTCTCTGAGCCGTGGGGATTCATCCGCTGCCTCTGCCTAGACTTTGCGTTGGAATTACACTCTGTTCACACAGCTCTGCCGTCTTATTGTCCCCATCCGCAGATCAGCATTCTGAGAGGGTATATTACCCCAAAGCCAATGGGCAGGCGTCTGGACGGAGTACCTTTTGATCCGCATGTACGGCCCAGAATCACTGCCCCCTGGAATCAATGGGCTTGGGGTGGATCCTGTCTGAGGCGCTTCTGATACTGTTGGTATTGTACTGCTCTATATACACAAATTAATCTTTTACACCTTACAGAAAGCAGGCTATCCTGTTATGCATTTTCATAAAGTGGTTTTCTTCCTGATGTTCTGTTATAATAGTGAGTTAAGGGGTTTGAATGTTCTCCCCGTGTCATCGTGGGGTTTCCTCCGGCTACTCGGCCCCCCCCCCCCCATGGGAGACATGCTGAGGTTAATAGGAGTTACCAAATGGCCCGTAGGTGTGGATGGTGTGTGATCGTGCCCTGAGATGGGTTGGCGTCCCATCCTTGGTTGTTCCCTGCCTTGCTCCCATAGCCTCCAGGATAGGTTCTGGACCCACTGCAACCTTGAATAGGACAAGCGGTTGCAGAAAATGGATGGATGGATGGAGTCAAATAAAATGTTTATTATATATTTTGATCATTATTCAAATAATCATTTAGGATTACAATTATATGTTTTAATATATGATTATATAGAAACAGATATCCGTTTTGGAATTTCAGTCGATTTTTCAAGTGTACGACTGGATAGTTGCCTAATGATTAGAGTTGGATTGTGATCCTCCAGGACCGGAACCTGATATATAGTCTTGATTAGTACTTTAAATGGGGGACTTATTTTGTGTGTGTATGCTGTGTAATGGGAAGGATGGCTCACAAAGAGTACAGGTATCTGTGTGACACAGGAATCCAGGGAACCACCAAGAAAAGTGAAGACAGAGATCCTGCTGATTGAATAACCAAAGATGTCAGAGGTTCAACATTGGCGCCGTTCAGCAAAACACGTTAACCCAAATTACTTTATTTAAAAAGCACAGGGAGGTGTTAAAAAAACATCCCCCTGGGGAGAGTGTTCTGTTAATAACATGAACTTTATATCAAGGTAGGTTTTTGGTGATGGTGCAGACAATCCTATGCAATTCATATTCATATATGAATTTACTTACCCCAAAAATCAGGCACCGTGCAGCAGATATTTTTAAAAATCAATACCAATATGCCTTGATGTTCTGAGGGTATATGTGCCTGTATCATTTCTGAAATTAATCCATATGAAAACAGAATGCAGGGTTTCATATACATGCGAATACATTTTCTTGGACCAGACGTTTGTTGAATTACACATGCTGTAGTTCCTTATCAGTGGATATGATTGTGGCTAAGTGTGTTAGAAATCATGTTCTCATCATTATGTATCAAAATCCCAGTGAAATCACCTCTGGCGTTTGCCTGCAGGCTACAAGTGGTTCTCCATCTGTCTGCTGGTTGAGAAGAAAAAAAAACCCTCCACAAGAAGTTGCCAGAAATAAAAAAGCGCACCTCTATCCCCTGCAGACACAAACCTTCACAACAGCCCCACGCCATTGAAAAAAAGTGATTCTCTCTAGAAAAATGTCTCGTACATCGCTATTTTATCTTTACTGGGTCTTGAAGATTATTTTGTTTGTACATTGTATACAGTATATGAAATCTAAACAGAATTTTCTGGACAGCTTAAACCTGACGTTATATCCACATACAATAAATATATAGTCAGTTGCATTCAATGTTCCGTATAGATGAACGGTTAAAGACAGTACAGCTAAACTTGGAGGTAAATATGCCGGAAGGATGCCTTCACTTTGCAATAGACGGGGCAGCCTTGTCAGCTGTTGAATGTTTTCTGCTGGTTGTGGCTTATAGAGACACAGGCGTGCCCCGTCCTTTCAGCACCGCTCACTGGGAGCGGTGGCGTTTAACGTGCCTCTTAAAGGGAATAACAAGGCAAACAAGCAGCTTCACTGAAGCTCTGCGTGGTCACGCCAAAAGGGGCTTATTTTAATTAAACGGGTTGCATTTTGCAAAAGCTCAGCATTGCTTACACGCACGCAGATGCATGAGGAAAGCCTTTTCTCGATCTGTATCCTCCGTCTGAGCATCCAATTTAGTATATGCAATTACCAGGCAACTAATTAGGAGTTGTCTTGCAGATTATTATATTTCTGTACACAGCCAAACAATCCATTGTGCTGATTTACACCACATAATGTGTAGATATACTAATAGTGATAGACTGCTAATGAGGAAAAGAGTCCTGTTCAATGAAAGAACCGCAAAGAAACGGAAGATGCCTCATGGTTTAATCTGATTCTAAGGACACAAACCGGCCGAAATACCCCAGTACCTGAACATGACCGTGATGCATACCATACTAATTAATAACTAACAGAAAAGTATATCTATGTAATATTGATTCAAACGGAAAGTGTGTTCTGCATATTTAAATTTGTACTCACACGAAAACTCCGAAGAGCAGGACCCGAATGCCTATTTCTATTGCGAAGTCTCGCATGTTTTTCCTGCGATCTGGGGGCGACATCTTCATGCTTTTTAAATCCAGGAGAAGCACAATCCGCACTCGGGCAGCTGGGAGCTGAAACAGTCGCGTCCTCGTACTTTTAATCCTGTTCAGGGAGCTAAATCAGAAGCCGTGGAGATCGAGCACCGTACCATAGATGATGCGAGTTAGTCACCTGAAATGAGCACTTCGCCGCTCGGCGCCGTTCATTAAACCGCCCCACTGGCAGGTTTCAATAAAGATCCTCCTTCACCCTCCCCTCCTTCTTCTCGTCCTCACTCCCTACTCCTTGCTAGCCTACAAATATCGGTTGCACAAACGAATATGTGTATATGGGGATGCGCTCAAGAGACTCGACAGAGGATCACGAAAACCAAGTGACGCTACTAAGCTGCAAATGCACTTCACTTCTTTCAATCTCCATTAACTTATTCAATTTCCCGTAGCTTTGGTTAAATAATCATTCCCTTATTATGTCCGAAAAATGAAAACCCAAGACATATATTATCATCGGGCACTGAAAATCGAACAATAATAATGTAACGCAGAAATGAATAATGTTTTCAGCTGGGAACGCCGAAGTTACGATGCGTTTTGTACAGACGAGCATTTTTCTGTGCTATAGTTATTGCCCAGGTGTGTTTTTGCAAGAGCGAAATCAAATTTTCTTTAAAAGCTTTTTATGGGCATCTCAGCCGTTTGAAGTCTATATGATTTATTGAAATTAACGATGGTCATTACACCTTACTCGATACCGCACATTTTCTTTAAAATGTCAAACATGCATATCTATCTATCACTCAGTGCTTTTTCAGATGTTTCTAAACCAGCAATTTTCTGATTTATTGTGTTGGAAAAGGCGATCACAACAGATGTGTGCTGCGGTATATTTGCATTGTTTCTATCCTATAAACTTAAGTTTGCATGGAGAAACTGATATTTTTACAACACTGGGGGGATTCATCGAGGAGACTTTAAAACCTACAGGTGTACTTCCTTTTGATGGAGATGCTCTGCTCCGCGGTGATAACAGGGGCTGGACGCTGATTTTTCTTGTATTTGAAATAGTGCCTCGTGGATATAAGATGGGGATGTATCAGGGGACAAACATTTCATCTGGAGGTGGTTAAATCGGGGACCTGGACTTTAAAGATTAGATTTATAAATCAATCATTGCAGTCATGTGCTGCAAAAGGGTACTTATCTTGCAAGAATACCTGCAAAAAAAAAACCTCACAGGACCGCAAAAATCGGGAACTGTGGAAACAAAAGCCAATAATCTTACCTGGAAATATATTTTAAAGTTTCATATGCTCGTACTTTCACTGTTTTACACGGAGGCTGTTTGTTAACAGGGTTCAAACGCGTAATACGTTTAACATGCTTATTAAATTTGTACAACCAATTTCAAGCTCGACTAACGTATATCACACATGTATACAGCATGTCACGTAACGGCGTTTTTTAACAAAAGAGCAACGACTGACTTTGTTAGACAAGCTGTCACGAGGGGACACAGGGAAGGAGTGACAATCCATGAGGCATCTTGAAATCAAACACCAAACCATGAGGGGTCATAAACAAAGGCAGGTAGGCAAGGGCTAAGCCTAACACACACATTAACACCAAAGGGACAGTAAAACAGAACAGTAACTAGGGAGCTCAACACAGGCAACAACAAGCAGGAACCAAACCACAAAGCAGCAACATCTACTAAAATCACACAGGACCATTGCAAAAGCAGACACATATGCACAAGTAACAAGGCTGAAGGAGGGACAAGTGTGGGCTGTTACGAAGTACAAAGAACTACAGGGAACAGGTGAGGGTCATGAACAGACACTAGGAGAGACTAGGAACAGGTGAAACAGAACAGAACCACAAAACTAAAGACTCCAAGGGATGCCTATAAACAAAGGCATGCAACAAAAACCAATACAGACTTACATGAACATACACATGAGGCAAAAAAAAAATGTTTAGACCCACAACAGTAGGGATATACTGTATGGTTCTCAGTCACCTGCTTAGCCCATTCAGCCATGTGGCAGCCCAGGTACTAATAAAGGCGCTGCAGCCTTGAGGAAGGAACGGGATGGCCAGTGACACCTGCTGGCCAAACGGGTGAACAGACAAAACAAGACAAGGCGGGGACTGATCCAAACACAGGCACCCTGTCTAGAATGTCCTCTGTCTTCCGGGATGGGCTCCAGGCTTATAGGAAGAATTAATTGGGTAATCAGTTAGGGAGAGATGATGGATGGATGGATTGATGGATGGATGATAGCATTTGTTTCATTAAATTGTAAGGTGATGATTATATTAAAGTATGCATAAGTTATGGTACTGCTATCAGCTAGACTCTGACTTATTACAACAGATAGTAACATCTCATTGCTAGCTAACAAGGTCCCGTTAAATTAGGAGCTGTGGTTCCCCGGCAAAGTCATTAGCCACACGTTCCTGTGGCTCTCAGCTTGGGCTTGCTGCTCCGCATGCAGGCAGCTCCCATCGACCGATTAAAATGCAGTAAATGAATACTAAGCCCACCTCACATTAACTCTAACAGATAAAAACTGGCGAGAAAGGAGCAATCCTGGGGATGTTTTCTCACTTTTTCTTTCGTAAGGAAAAGAGAAGAAAAGCGTTTAAAAGCAGTTTTTTTTTTTCTCATGGGTTTCATCACAAGGTCAGTTTTCAGCTCACACTATGCTTCTCCTGCCCTCGTGGAGCTCCCCACGAGATCACCAACACACACACACACACACACACACAGAAGTATACCTAATAGAAAGTATATCTCTGACATAGACAAAGAGATAATTAAGTCTCCATGTAGCTTATTGGAAAAAGTGAAGAGGAAGTTTTATTCTGTGGAAATGATTATGTGACTAAAGTGTAATTATGTAAGTTATACAAGAATTCCACCCATATTCAAACCATTTATTCAGAGCAGGGTTTGGAGAATAACATGCTACTAAAACATATTAGTGACATTAAATTTGATTTGCTGGCATTTGAAGTTTGACAAATACGATAATGTTTTGATTTATCCTATATCAGTTTAAATGGCTTGTTATCCTGTCTAGGATCAGCAGCTTGGATAGGTGGATAGTTTAAGTGCTTGAAAAGTTAACCAATCAAAAGAAAGCAGTCTAAGACAAAGCAGGGGGATCTGGGACAAGGTGGATGGAGTGAAATTCCCCCCCAGGGAGAGCAATGTACTGAGCAGGTACCCAGAGTGTTCGCATGGTTCAAATTTCCAGACCCCATTGATGTTACTACAAATATGCCCGTCCATCACCACACCTGGCCGGGATGACTATCATGCG